CCATGTGGGGCTATTACCTAGGTCAAAATCTATTGCTAAGGTGGTTACCAGGGGGATTGGGAGTGGTGATGGTCTTCTTTGAAATTCCTTTCTGGCCTTGTTTCTGCAGGAACTTCTCTGGGTCTATTGCTGCAGATAAGTGAGGGTCTTCAGGCCTTAGTTCCTGTTTTTTTTCTGTTTTCTTCTAAAGGTCTTATCAGGCTCTCACAGCAACTTCAGGGCTATTTCTTTCCAAGAAATCTTTGCCATTGCCTTGGGAAGGGGTCTTCCCTATCCTACCTACATCACCCTCATTGGGGATGGCATCTTGTTTTCTCTTTCATGCTTGTCAGAAGCAGCATCATTATTTCTAGCTGGGGAGAGATCTCTGGTCTGCCGGTGGCACGTGGACCTGTCCTTTTGTCTGGCCTGACATAGAACCCATGACGCAGTATACTTTATCTAGGTGATCTTGGAGGAATCTTGGCGGGTTTGTTGTCTGTAACTTATTCACATCCACTGGAGTCTAGCATCACCTAGTTATGAACACACAGCCAATTAACTCCAGAGATTGCAGTTTCCTTTCTTAGTTAAGTTTTTAAAAATTTATTTCCTGCCAGGATAGATAATGCTTTCACTTACAGCCACTTGATTTTTATGACTTTTATGACTTTATACTTTTTATGATTTTATGATTTTATACTTTTAAATGACTTACATCCACTTGGTTTTATGACTTTTATGATTTTTATATTTCTTATGATTTTTTAAATGATTTTATGATTTAATACTATAAAAATTTTATTTTTTTATTTATTAAATTACCGTGTGAACAGTTACAAAGCTTTCAGGTTTAAGTTTCGGTCATACAATGATCAAACACCCAACCCTTCACCAGTGCACATTTTATACCACCAATAACCCCAGTAAACCCCCCATCTCACCCCTCCCCCTGCCTGTGTGGCAGATGATTTCCATTTTACTCTCTCTTTATTTGATTACATTCAATATTTTGACAAAAGACCCACCATTATTATTTGGAATTTCCCCCCAGCAATCAGACCTGCCAAAAAGGCATCATTAGATAATTTGTTTTCTATTGCTGATTATGAAGAGCATATGATGTTTTGCGGCCACTATTGTGGTTGCGCAATTTTGGATTTCTGATATTTTACTAATTAAGTCTGGAGGGATTTCTGCCAAAAGTTGTGGGTTCTGAGAATGGTTTGTGTGCCTCTGCGATCATGGCCACCCAGGAGCCGGAGGAGCCGTTCATGGGTGCCAACTTGGGGTCTTGTCAGGGTGGGGGAGAAGGGCCGGTTCCACCCCATGATTTAATACTTTTTAATGACTCATGGGCTGGAGCGATAGCACAGCGGGTAGGGCGTTCGCCTTACAAGCGGCCAACATGGCCGACCCGAGTTCGATTCCTCCGCCCCTCTCGGAGAGCCCGGCAAGCTACCGAGAGTATTCGATATGCCAGACACAGTAACAACGAAGTCTCCAATGGAGACGTTACTGGGCCCGCTCGAGCAAATCGACGATCAACGGGAGGGCCTTTACCTTTACCTTACCTAATGACTCATAGCCATTTGATTTTATGAATTTTGTGATTTTATGCTTTTTTAATGACTTTCAGCCACTTGATTTTATGACCTTTTTATTTTATAGTTTTATACTTTTAAAGGATTTTTATATACTTTTTAATATTTTTAAAACTTTCATACTTTTTAAAATGATTTTATACTTTTTTATGACTCCCTCTCCCCTGTCTCTCAAGATAGTATGTAATTCTACACTTTCTGCCAAACATGAGTAATCCTAGTTCCTCTGCTTACTATTTTAATCCTTAGACTCTAAAGTACAGCCAGTATTTCCTCTCCTCCACCTTTATAAGTGAGGCGGTTGGTCCCCTTTTCCTATCTGAATTGAGGCGCTGATGGGCAGCAAATAAAATTTAGTTCTCAGATGGAAATGTTTGAGTGTGTTCTAAAAAGTTATCCATAAAACAAGACTGTGACCACTTTGTGATGTTTAAAAGTTCTTGGCTGTGAAGCTCACTTGTGCACTGGAGCTGCACCTGTGGTCCAAACAACATTAATTTTCCTGACTGTTTCTCATTGCCTTTTGAAAATTCCTTCATGGTTTGCACTGTTACCTCAACTTCTTACGTACTGTATGTCCAATGAGCTAGGATAGCAACTCCTTTTCTCCAGCAGATCTGCCTACTTATTTTTGGGGGGCAGGAAGTGTGCGGGGAGGCCATATCTGCTGATGCTCGGGGTTTCTCCTGGCTCTACACTCAGGAATTACTCCTGGCAGTGCTCAGGGGACCGTATGGGTTGCCAGGGATTGAACCTGGGTCGGCTGTGTGTAAGGCAAGCTCCCTCCCCACTGTCCTATCTCACCAGCACAGACCTGCCACTTTTTCTCCTCTCTGGGCTGGTAACTGTCCTGGCCTGATGCAGCTCATCTGTGATCCTTAGAGACCCTCTTTTTGTGTTCATTTTTCTATTTCCTGTGTCTGGATAATTTTCTTTCTTGGTTAAAACTTCCATCTCATGAATACAAGAAAAAAAATTTTTTTCTTGCAGCACATAATTATCTACTATTTTTTTTATTTACTTTTTTGCTTTTTGGGTCACATCCGGTGATGCACAGGGGTTACTCCTGGCTCATGCACTCAGGAATCGCTCCTTTCTTTGCCAGGTTTTCTTTCAATTGTACACATTGCCAACCACCTTTAACTCTTAACACCTCTGTTTGTAGTCCTTCCCCGTCTCCATCCATTTATTATACAGCTTGCTCTTTTTTTATGTAGGAGTACTGCTATTTATTCAGCCACTGATTACCTGATTGTGCATGAACTCCACCTTACTTTTTTTTTCATTTTTTATAATCTTATTTATTGAATCACCGTGAGAGCAGTTACAAAGCTTTCGGGTCTAAGTCTCGGTCATACAATGAAACACCTGTACCTTCACCAGTGCCCATTCTCCACCCCCAATAACCCCAGTATACCCCCATCCCACACCCTCCCCCTACCTGTGGGGCAGATAATTTCCACATTACTCTCTCTCTCTACTTTGATCACATTCAATATTTTGACACCAGACCCACCATTATTATTTGAAATTTTACCCCAACACACAGATCTGCTGAAAAGGCAAGAGTAGACAATTTGTTTTCTATTGCTGGTTATGAATAACATATGATGTTGCATGGCTGTAGCAGTGGCTGTGAGATTTTGAAATTCCGAATTTTAACACTTAAATCTAGAGGGATTTCTGCCAAAACCTGCTGGGTTCCAAGATTTGCTCCTGAGTCTCTGGGATCATGGCCGTTAAGCAGCTTGATCAGGGGCCAGAAAGGCCGTTCGTGGGCGATGAGTTGGGGTCTCGTTGGGGTGGGGAGGACAGGACCGGCTCCACCTCCATCCCTTGAGGCCCAACATGTCTTATCACTGCGGGCCTAAACCTGACTGTTCTGTGGCCTCTGGAGGATAATGGCCACCGAGCAGCCAGGGGGAAGCAGGCGGAGGGACAATACCCTTTCCCCCTGGGGTGGCCTGGTGACAGTAACCTACTGTGGGGTCTGGACGCATTTCTGCCAAAGCCGCTGGGTTTCGAGATTTATTTCTGAGTCCCTGGGATCATGGCCATTAAGCAACTTGATCAGGAGCCAGAGAGGCAGTTCGTGGGCGATGACTTGGGGTCTCGTTGGGGTGGGGAGGACAGGACCAGCTCCACCCCCATCCCGTTGGGCCCTGCATGTCTCATCACTGCAGGCCCAAACCTGAATGTCCAGTGGCCTCTGAAGGATGGCGGCCACCGGGCTGCCAGGGGGAACAAGCCAAGGCACGAAACCTATTACCACCTGGGTTGGCCCAGCACTGGTAACCTACTGCAGGGACTGGACACATTTCTGCCAAAGGCCGTTGGGTTTCAAGATTTGTTTCTGAGTCTCTAGGATCATGGCCATTAAGCAGTTCAATCAGGAACCAGAGAGACCATGCCTCCAATTATATAGCTGAGCCGGAGGTGGTTTGTGGGTGTGTTTTCCACATACTAACTTTTGGCCCTTTACTTTCTTGGTAAACTTTGCCCCAAGTTTTTGGGGTCTGGCCAAACGCACAGCTTGCCCTTGTTTTATGTATGAAATATCACTCCAATCAATCTGAGACTTTGGGCTTTATTTTAATTTTTTAAAATTTATTTATTTATTTTGCTTTTTTTGGTCACACCCAGCAATGCTCAGGGGTTACGCCTGGCTCTGCATTCAGGAATTACTCCTGGTGGTGATTGGGGGACCATATGGGATGCCAGGGATCGAACCCGGGCTGGCCGCGTGCAAAGCAAACACTCTACCCACTGTGCTTCGCTCTGGCCCCTTTGGGTTTTATTTTTTTTTTAAATATTTTCTATTGTGAAATTTAGCATTCTTTTTGTCATATCTTGTATTTTTTTGTCATTCTTTTCTACGTGAACAACTTCATCAAATATCTTTTCCTAATTTGCCTACTCATATGTTATTATTATTTTTTTTTTGGTGGGGGCCATATCCAGTGATGCTCAGGGGTCATTCCTGGCATTGCACTCAGGAATTACTCCTTGTGGTGCTTAGGGGATGTTGTGGATTGAACCCAGGTTGGCTGCATGCAAGGCAAGTGCCATACCCGCTGTAATATTATTTCAGCCTGCCTATTCATATTTTAGCCAGAGGGAAGTTTACTGGAAAAGTGTGTTAAAACATTTTGTATGAGACTGCCCTAAATATTAGAAAAGTGAGATGAATTTCTCTGGAATTGTTCAATTGACCTACTTATCTTTTTTCCTACTGTAATAAATTATTTTAAAAAATATTTACTTTTTAATTAAAGAACTGTGATTTACAAAGTTATTGATAGTTGCATTTTTAGTCATATAATTTTTTTCTTGTATTCATCATTTATTCAGAACAACAACAACAGAATATATTTATATTTTCCCCTAAAGAGAATATACTTTTTATGAAATAGAAGATTAGTTGTCAGGAGATGCTTTTGGAGAATGATCGATAAGTGCCTTATCAATGGTTGGATACTGATACCAGGGACCATCACCTCTCTCACGCATTAATTTTCGTACTTCCAGCTCCTTTAACCGTAATTCAGCCTTTTCAGCTTCAATTTGAAGAACAGGCATTGTTTTTTTATAATTCTTTTCAGGACAATCGAAGAAAGTTCGTGCAATTCATCTTGATATAGGATGCTTGTCACTGTCACTGTCACTGTCCTCTCGTTGCTCATCAATTTGCTCGAGCGGGCCCAGTAACGTCACTATTGTGACAATTGTTATTGTATTTGGCATATCGAATACGTCACGGGTAGCTTGCCAGGCTTTGTCGTGCGGGCGAGATACTCTCGGTAGCTTGCCGGGCTCTCCGAGAGGGGTGGAGGAATCGAACTCAGGTTGGCCATGTTGGCAGCTTGCAAGGCAAACACCCTACCTGCTGTGCTATCACTCCAGCCCAAGGATGCTTGTAATATCCCCAATGTTCTGGTACATAGCCTTCTGGAATTTCTGCTAATTCAGCTTCACCAATGAATACATTCACCAGAGTTATGCCAATTGCCACTGGAATCCCAGTCAACAAAATGTAGAATCTCATTAAATGCAAAAACCACTTATCATAGAATCCAGAAGGCTTGACGATAAGCAGTCTCTTCCCATGATGATCTCCCCTATGTCGAACAGGAGCGACCACCTCGGGCACGCTGCGGCGGAGGAAGCCCCCGAGTCCAATCCGGCCACTCAGGCAGCAGCTGGACAGAGAGGTCACCGCCATGACCGAGGCACGCCGCAGCAGACTCATCAGTCATATAATTTTTAAAAAGTAGTGTAGGAATACTGCTATTTGTTCAGTCATTGATTAAGTTGATTGCATTGGGCAGAAACTCCACATTACTTTTTTTTAAATTTTATTGTATCACCATTAGGTAGAGTTACAAAACTTTCATGTTTGATATTCAGCCATATAATGATGGAACACCCCTCCATTGGTGCACATTTTCCACCACCAATGTCCCCAGTATTCCCGCCCAAAGGCATAAAATAGATCAACATAAATCCCACCATCAGTGTCAGGTTCCCTCTACCAGTGTTCCCAGATTCCCTTCCCATCCCAACCCCCATCCCATATCTGTCTGTTTACTTCACAGGCACGTTACTAAGTTTCAGTGGTTACAGGTTAGATCTTACGTTTTCAATTTTTTAAAATAGTTTTTGGGGTCATACCCGGCAATGCCCAGGGGCAATCCTCAGGGGTTACGCCTACCTCTGCACTCAGGAATCACTCCTGGCAGTGCTCGGGGGACCATAGAGGATGCCAGGATCGAACCTGGATCAGTTGCGTGCAAGGCAAACTCCCGCCCCTCTGTGCTATCACTCGAACCCATGTTTTCAGTCTGTGTTTTGGATATGTGGCTAGACCACTCTTTCATATCACCCGTATAACTGAAGTCCTGATACTGATACATGTTTAACCATTACTTCCGGTTCTCTTCTTCCCATCCTGAATTTCTTTCCTGTCCTTCTCCTCTTTAAACACTGTGTCAAGAGTAACCTATCACCTACACACTTTGTTTTTCTTCCCCATGAGTATACTTTCTCCCAACTTCCAATTTGTTTTTTTGTGTGATGCTTGGGAATATCAGATGAGAATTGGGTTTGAACTTCTTGCCTGGTTCCCTTCCCCCTCTTATTCTCTCTTAGCTAATTGGTCTTGTTCCTCTGCCCTCTCTCTGTGTTTTTCCATTACACATTAAATAGCATTTCCCCCAATGCCTCTTTCTTCCTTTTTACCTTATCCAGTGTGTCCTCAATCACTTGTTGAAGTCTTCGGTCTCCATGGGACCCATTCCCAATTGTCTTTGGCAGCAAAATGGAAGAGGCAGCGGTGAACGAGGGTTCCCAGATCCTGAGGCTTGGGTTTGATCCCACTAATCATTTACCAGATTTCTGACCTTTGTCACATCAGGTAACACCTGTGCTCAGTTTTAAATGAAGACTTGAACGAACGGTGCATACCTCAAAAGTTATTGAAGGGAAAGAGTTCCCCATTACAGTCACTAGGGCAATTACTGTAGCAGAGCAACACGCCAAAGAGGTAAGTCACTCTTGCCATTAGTTACGGTGACACCAATTGGTCTCTTTTCTTCCATTTCGATCAGATAGATCTAAAAAGGGGGGAGCTTGATACGTGCTTGTTGCTTTCTTAAAATGCACCTGAAAATCATCCAACTTTGCACTCTGTCTTCATGAACTCATGCAAGATAATTACAAGCAGAACTGAGAGAGGGTTGTCCAATATTAATATCTGCTTACTTTAAAAGAGTTCCAAGAACCAGTAGGCCTGAGAAGATGGTCACTTAGGTACTGTAGTGTGACTGCCGATGGATAGAATTTCTTTGCACACCAAAGTGTCGCTGGACTAGGTTTGAAATGTGCATTATGTATTGTTACCTCTGACAGCATTATTTTACCTTTTTATCCCTAAATGAATATTTCTATTTATTTTTTTATAATTTAAGTTAAAAATATAACTTTTTAACTTAAGTTCTGTTGTCAGGGTCCAAAAGTTTTTTCCCCATTGGTATTGTTGAATTTTAAAGAACTGTTTGCTCTGAGTATTTCCATTGTGTTGTGTCGGGTTTCTGGTGTGTATTCTTTAGTTGTGGTAATATTGGTTTACAAGAGTTATATGTTTCATGGGTGTAGCGTTACACCTCATCAAAATTGAATGTTAGTATTATGGAAGAAATAAGGAGGTAGTAACCATAATGTGGAGGGAAACAGACCTCTGATGGGTCATCTTATAAATACTTATAAGGGCATACGTGATGTGACTGCTCATGCCGTACTCACCCATACAATGTAAACTATATACAATAATACCTCAACACACAGACACAGAGACACATACAGATGCACACACACACTGCACAGGCACACACATATATATGTATGTATATGTCAAAAACAGTAACAATAACGGGTCTCATTCCACTGAATCTGAAAGAGCCTTCAATACGGCAGCATTAGGAAAGATGAATAAGGAGAGGCTGTTAAAATCTCAGGGCTGGGACGAGTACTGGGACGTTACTGGTGTCTGCTCGAGTAAATTGATGAACAATGGGATGACAGTGATACAGTGATATAGTGATATATATATACATATACATACATGTATGCACATATATATATATATACACACACACACGATCTGATTGGTCAATCCAAATGGGTGACCTTATAGGGAGTAACTAATCAAATAATAGAAACCACTAAAAGGCAGGGATGTATAGAAACCTAAATGTATAATGCAGAAGAAAGAAAGTGGGGGAGAGAAGAGAAGGTGATAAGGAAGAAAGACATGAGGGAAGAAACAGCAGTGGTAAATTGTGAAAGAGGAGAAGAAAAGGAACAGTAATTGTGATTGCTGTCCAGGACATGGAGGTCCCTGTTTCTGCAGTTCTGTAGCCCACAGATTTGTACCTAAATGAGCTATTAAATAAATAATTTTTAAATAAATCAATTAAATAAATAAAGGGATCAATTAAATAAATTAAGGGATCTCTTATTCACCACCCACAAGAACCCAGAACTATCCCATTACCATCCCGTGCCCATCACCTCAGAACCAGTATCCCTCCACTGCCATCCATGGCAACACCTCCACTCCTTCAGATTTCTCCTTTCCCCTACTCTAGCCCAGGGTTCAGAGTTCTTTTCTTTTGGCTTTGCTTTTTCCCTTATGCTGTTTTATTTATTTGGCATCACCAGCAGTGCTCAGGGGTGAAGTGTCCAAGCCAGGCAATCAACAGTCCAGTGATAGTTCAAGGTTAGGAACTGGCAATGTGGTGCTGTTCAGATTTAGGGTGCTGGGGGTGGCCATGTGAATCCAGGGATCAAATGCTGAGATTCATAAATGCAAGGCATGCACAGACATCCTGTGAGCTCTCAGCTTCACTTCGTTGCATCCCAGAGATCAGTGAAATAATCTGGGATCTGACTTTCTCATTCTGACTTCACTTCTCATGACTCTCTTCAATCCATTTTGTCACCCAGGATAAGATTCCACCTTACAGCTGAGGAGTTTTTTTTTTAATCTTATATTCCTACTTGATCTTGTGTATCCACTCATCTGTCATTGGGCTCTGGGGGGTGTTTCCACATAATCATTGTAAATAACACTGCAATGAATATAGGTGTGCAGACATGTTTTTGAATTGAGTCATCATGTTATTTGAATAGCTAAACCAGGAATGAATTCTACTGTGTCTCTTTGTAATATTATAATAAATCCCCATACTATTTTCTATGGGTTGTTTTCTATAGCATAGCGGTAGGGCAATTTGCCTTGCAAGCTGCCGGCTCATCTGAGCTGGGTTCAATTCCTCCGCCCCAACAAGCTATATAGAGTATTTCGCCCACACGGCAAAGCCTGGCAATCTACCTGTGACATATTCGATATGCCAAACACAGTAACAACAAGTCTCACAATGGAGACATTACTGCGCACACTCAAGCAAATCGATGAACAACGGGAGGACAGTGCTACAGTGCTACTGTTTTCTATAGAAGTTGGACCAATTTCTATTCCCACCAGTGGTGTGTAAGGATTACTTTCTCTCCGCATCCTCATAATCACTTGCTGCTTCTGGCCCTTTTGGTAAAGGCCATTCTCATAAGTGTGAGGAGATACCTTATAGTCCTTATTCATTTCCCTGATGATAGTATGGTGTGTCTTTTCAAGTTTTTCTTATCCTAACAATTGCATTTCTAGAAATATCTTAAGCTAATAATCTCCAATGCAGGTCAAGCTTTTTGCTAGATCATCCATTGTATTGTGATGTATGCAAAGACTTAGAAACAGTGTTAGTTCATATAGTTCTGTAAGGACTAGAGAGAATCTTGAACTCTATCCGGGGTCCTGGCCATTCACAGCAGGGCTATAGGGTCTTCAGGAAAGAAAGGTCCAGCCAAAGGAGGAGGATGGGGGTTTTGGAAGCTGTGGCACCAGGGAGTTTATCAGAAGAGGGGCTGGTGCCCAGGTGAAGCCATTATCTTGGAATGAGAAGAACCAGTTACTGTGAACACAGAAGCATGAGGCGATGTCTTTGTATGTTCCAGGAAGGTGAGCATAGTCTTCACAAATGAAGGATTCTGATCAAAGAGATTTGACTCTAGTCCTGACTCTGGTACTATTAATGATACCGTAAACTCTGTGATGATTCCTCCACTTAAAAAAAAAAGCTGACTTGGGGCTGGAATGATAGCACAGCAGGTAGGGCATTTGCCTTCCACAAGGCCGACCCAGGTTCAATTCCCAGCATCCCATATGGTCCCCTGAGCACCGCCTGAGTGCATGAGCCAGGAGTAGCCCCTGTGCATCGCCGGGTGTGACAAACACACACACACACACACACACACACACACACACACACAAAGCAAAAAAAAAAATTTAAAAAGCTGACTATGGAGTAGGGATTCTTGAAATCTCTACTTGAAATTCAACAAATGTCCTACTCAGAGCATGGGCCATAACTAACGAGGAAATGTGCACTGTATCCATACCACATAGTGACGGCATCATTGTGGTTATTATCGGGGAGTAAACACAACTGCTCCCAACCCACCACAGTTCCTAGAACACCCCCCTTCTCTCCTTCTGCTTTGGCTGCGCTGTCTCTATAGCTCCACATGGCTGTCTCCCTGTCTATCTCTGTGTGTCCCTACTGAAGGACACAACAACTGATGACCACGGGAAAGAGCTGCAGTGAGCTGGGAAAATTTCTTGAAATAACAGGGTCAGATATAGGAGACCACAAACACATCAGGCTAAGTGTATTTTAGTATCTGTGGCACTCCTGCAGGGAAGTTCCAGAATTCTCTCTCACTGCCAGCTGTGAGCTTGCCATCGCCCGAGTTGCTGACATTCAACCCTACTCTGTGTTTCTCCTCTCCAAGGGTGACGTCCACGAAGAGGCAGAACGTTGACTGCAGGGTGACACAGACACTTGGAGGCACCATGAATCCAGAAGACAACCCAGGTAGCTGTCTTCTAAGAATGCCAGCTTCTCCTTATTTTTCTTATATATTTTTAAACAGTGGTTTCCATCGGGCTGGAGCGATAGCACAGCGGGTAGGGCGTTTGCCTTGCACGTGGCCGACCTGGGTTCGATTCCCCTGTCCTTCTCGGAGAGCCCGGCAAGCTACCAAGAGTATCCTGCCTGCATAGCAGAGCCTAGCTAGTTCCCCGTGGCGTATTCAATATGCCAAAAATGGTAACAAGTATCAAAATGGAGACGTTACTGGTGCCCGCTTGAACAAATTGATGAACAATGGGAGGACAGTGCTACAATACAGGTTTCCATCAAGGATAGCAATCTGATCTCTATCAGGGTTTCAATACAAGTACTGGAGTCATCAGGGATTAGGAATGACTCTATCAGTAGTGCTGGAGTGATAGCACAGCAATACGGCATTTGCCTTGCATGCAGCCGGCCCGGCTGAGCTGGGTTCAATTCTTCCGCCCCCCTCAGAGAACCCGGCAAGCTACTGAGAGTATCTCACGTGCACGGCGAAGTCTGGCAAGCTACTGTGACGTATTTGATATGCCAAACACAGTAACAACAAGTCTCATGATGGAGACATCACTGGGCCCGCTTGAGCAAATTGATGAACAATGGGAGGATGGTGCAGTGCAGTGTTATCAGTAGTGCCCAGGGCACAGCTGCTCAGGAAAAGAAGCCTGGAGCCACCTTGGACTAATATCAAGGAAGCTGCTCCTCAGACTTCTTATCTTCTTCTTTGTTCTTTCATCTAGGAAAAAGCAACTTTATTGAGAACACCATAAAGTATATCCAGGCCTCACTGAGCCCGGAAGATGTGCAACTTCTGCTGAAAGATGATAAAGTCTGGGAAAAAATCGTGACGGAGGCCGAGCTGTCCAGGTATCTCTGAAGTGGGTGTTGTAGTGTCATTTATCCGATCTCCTGAGCCGGTTTTCTTCTTTTCTTTTCTTTTTTATTTTTCTCCATGGGTCAGAATATATATATATGTGTGTGTGTGTGTATATATATATATATATATATATATATATATATATATATATATTTGCTTTTGGGTCCCATCCAGCAATGCTCAAGGGTTGCTCCTGGCTCTGCACTAAGGAATTACTCCTGGCAGTGCTGGGAAGACATATGGGATGCCGGGGATCGAACTCGGGTTGGCCACATGCAAGGCAAACGCCCTACCCACTGTACTATGGCTCCGGCCCCCTCAGAATCAATATTGTATTTTTTTCTTTTTTAAATTTTATTTTCATAAAGTTGTTCACAATAATGGATAACATTCAATATTTCAACACCAATCCCATCACCATTACACCTTCCCACCACCATTACTTTGTATTTTCCCAACGCCACTCAAGCCTGCTCAACAGACAGATGTTATATAATTTTGTATTGCTTGTTATGAATTGCAGTCACTGGTCCTGCGTACCTGGGATTTTCATTGGGTTCTGGAAGTTTGCAACCACTGGGGGCAGGTGGAAGGATGACTCCTGCTCCCATTGGAGGTACCCCGGTGAAATCCGCCTGGCTCGAGTTCCGGAAGCATCTCTGCAGTGAGCTGCTCAGTTCTGAGATTCATTTGTGAGTCTCTGGATCATAGCCATTAATGTGCTTAAATGGCACCTGGAGGCAGTTCTTGAACATGACAGCCAGGACCTTCTAGGCCCATCCCTGATCCCTTGAGTCCTAAAGTTTGCAGTCACTGATCCTGCATTCCTGGGTTTTTCACTGGGTTCTGGAAGTTTGTGGCTTCCAGGATTAATAGGGGACAGGTGGAGGGAAGACACCTAAGCTGGTTTTCTTTTGACCAGCATACCTCATCTAGACAGAGGTCTGTGGTATGAATGGAAGGTGTCCCTTTCAAAAATAAGTGAAACTAAGTCTTCCAGGTCACACGTACTTGCAGTGACTGGCCTTGGCATAAGAAAAGATAAAACCTGCAGGACAAGTGAGTGGTTCTGGGCCAGTGATTTACCCAACCTCTCCCCCACTTTTGTCACTTGTCAATGATGTTCTGATTAAAATATAAGCTACGTGGAAAGTACTTAGCATTATGACTAGCACCAAGGAAATGCTCAGTTAATATTAACTCTGAAGTTAGTTGGGAAGAGACAGGTGCTTGATCTTCATCCTGGAGATGAGACCTGAGCCTTTGTCCCTCTGGGGAAAAGTCAGAAAGTTGGGACATAATAAGCATGTTTCTTGGGTTTCTAGCTAGAGCCTTGTTCACCCTGTGAGATGCCCTAGGAGGGGACCTGGGATACTTCCTAACTCTATCCCTTCTGAGATCTGGGACTTGGCTTGTATCATGGAGAGTGATCTATTTCATTTGTTTTATGAGAAGAACAGTTCAATCTGATTAGATTTTTATGAATATCTTCAAGCGTGCTTTGGAGTTGTTGGTGAGAACTATGAAATAACCCTGTGCAAAGGCTCAAGATGATTTGGACAGGGTTAGAGCCCTTCCAGGACTGAACAGGACTGAGTTCAGGTTGGAGGACTGATTAGAAGACTTGGGCATTGTGGCTAGGTGTCCAGGGCAGGGGACCATAGGAGGCCATAGACGGAAAGGACAGAGAACATTTCTTCTCTCTGATTTTATTCCTCTCAGTGCTGTATGTGAAAAGTTGTGGGTGATTGTTTTCTCCCCAACTGCTGGGCACCTGGAATGTTTCTCAGCTTCTTCTACACTGCATAAACTAACCCTTGAGTCAAGGCAAGGCAGTGTGACTTCAGAGCCTCCTGGAGTCATATTTGTCATCATTTTATGTGACGTTGTGGATGCCAATATTTTTTTTGTAATTTCAGAAGTGGTGATATAGGCTTCCCATTCCACAAGCCCCCAGTGTGGACTCTTGAGGTGTTGACTTGCCTTGGGTTGTCCGTACAAAGTCCTATCACTTAGGAGCATGACATTTTGCTTATTTATTTCTTTATTGATAAAGAAGGCAAAGAGTGCAAAGTAACATATTTGATGTTCATAGGACAGTAGCTTGCATTGATAAAAATCCTCCAACATTTGATTGATTGTAAAATCCCTGTGATCATACAGAAAAGAGCTCGTCCAGCTCATTTTACAGAAATTCAAACTTCTTGTTGATCACCTACTTTCACCATTACAGGGATGAGGCACGGGCAATCCATGAAGGTCTGAGGAAGAACCACACAGTCATGGAAGTGAAAGATAAGTATCAACAAGAACAGAAATACAGGGAGAAGTTTCTGAAATTATATCCTCTGGTGAAAAGGGATGTCGAGGCTCATATAGCACAGCTCCGAGCTCTAGCAGACAAGGCCGACAAGTTACACAGAAAGTGCACCATCTCTAAAATGGTGGCCAGTTCCACTGGCATCGTCTCTGGCATCCTGACCATAGTTGGCATAGGTTTGGCACCTGTGACATCTGGGGTGAGCCTGGTGCTGTCCATAACTGGGCTGGGGCTGGGGACAGCATCTTCTGTGACTGGTGTCACCACTAGCATTGTGGAAAGTACGAGCATGGCATCCATAGAATCTAACGCCAATAATCTGGTATCAACCGGAATCAATCCAGAGAAAGTATTCCATGAAGTTCTAAAGGATAGCGACTCCCAAATGGCTTCCTCAGAAAATAGTTTTTTCAGAAGCCTGGAAGACATGGCGAAGAACATCCACACCATCAGGTTACTCAATGCCAACCCTCACTTAGCAGCCCAAGCCACGTTACTCATGAACGCGGAAAGGATCTCAGTGCAAAGTGCCCGGGTGTTGCCAAGAGCTTTGGGGGGCGCTGCTCTGGCAGTGAGCAAAGGGGTGCGGATCTTTGGTGCAGCCTCTGCAGGCTTATTCATTCTGGTGGATGTGGTCAGCCTTGTGCAAGATTCAATAGACTTGCATAAAGGGGCAAAGACGGAGTCCGCTGAAAAGCTGAGGCAGTGGATCCGGGAGCTGGAAGTGATGTTGGAAAAACTCAAACAGATCAAGGAAAGTCTACTGGGGGACAGATTTTGTGATGCCAAGAGGAGCTCACACGTGTAGGACAAAGGTATGGAGATATGTTGTTAAAGGGATATAGAGGATTAAAGAAAGCGTATGAACCTGGGCGTTAAGGAATTTGATTTTCCTGGTGATGAGCACACTAGGAGGGATCATGTAGCAGTCTGTCGGGTCTATGACCAGAAGGAATGTAAAGCTTGGGATTACGGACGGGAGAGATGTAGGGTTGCCCTGTTTATTTTTCACAGGAAAAACCACTGTTGGCATAAATACAGAAGCTTAGCACTGTGAGAAGTTTCAGCATGAGTTCTAAGGGGTGGAAAGGGATGCGAAGAAAGCTGAAGACTTGGAATAATTTTATTATGGAGAAGAACATTGTCTCATCTATGGACACTTTCCATGGTTTCATATTCCAGGAGTAATTCATTCACTGGGGTGGGCACTCACCATAACCTTCCAATACAACTCACCTTTGTCTTCTAGAAGGTTTCATCCTACTCAGGTATGACTTCTCAGTGACAGTGATGGTGATTCTGACGATGGTATGAGAGTGATGACAGCTAAGTGGGTGGAACATTTGTCAAATCACTGGTCATCTTTGGGGCCATGGAACATGGAAAGCCCAATGGAGTTTCAATGAAATTTCAAATGCTGTGTTGGGACAACAGTTTGGGAAAAAAAGAAGAAAAATTAGTTAAGATGTTACCATGGGTCAAAGGAACTTTCCATGTCACTTGCAGTCAAGAAGAACAAACTCGCTTAACCTTGGTTTTAGTATCAGATGGGGAAAAATGGCATTCTGGACAAGACATTTCAATTCTATCTTATTCTCCCCATTTGTGTTAATCGATTGGTTAAATAAACATGATGGTACTATCTTTGGTTGTGTTTATGATACTCATCAGATATGATAGACTAGATTGATGTACTCACAAGATTTCTCAAAATCAGGACAAGTTTGCCAGTGTCAGAGAAACCATCAAAAAATGGAGAGAGAAGAAGAGAGAGAGGGAGGGGAGGGCCAGGTAGCAACATCTTAATCGAAGTTGCCATAATATTTTACTTATACTTTGGCAAATCTCTTTCCTGTGGGAATCTTCGTATTTTCCCTCTGGTACACTGCCCAGTCCCTTACCCCATTCTCCATTCTTGGACAGAATGATACACAAAACCACTTATATCTTCTCTGTTTGTTTTGGGACCACACTCTGCAGGGATCAGCATTTATTCCTGGTTCTATGCTCAAGGATCACTCCCTCCTGGTGGTGATCAGGGGACCACATGCAGTGTCGGAGATCAAATATGCCAGGCATGACTGCATGCAAGACAAGCTCCTTAACTGTTATACAATCTCTCTGACCCTTATGTATTTTTTTGAGGGGGGGAAGATATTGAGTCACATCCTGAAGAATACTGAGCTTTTGCTGGCTCTCTGTTCAGGAGTGAATCCTGGCGACGCTTTAGGAAAAATGTGTCAGGGATTGAACTAGTTGGTTTCATGCAAAGCCAATGCATTGTCTCCTCTATTATCACCGTAGTCCTCAAGACTGCTTATATTCTTCAACATTTTTTGGGGTTGTCACACCCGGCGATGCACAGAGGTTACTCCTGGTTCTGCACTCAGGAATTACTCCTGGTGGTGCTTGGGGGGCCATATGGGATGCTGGGAATTGAACCCGGCTTGGCCATGTGCAAGGCAAATGTCCTACCCGCTGTGTTATTACTCCAGCCCTAAGACTGCTTCACGATCATGATCACGATCATCCTGTTGTTCATCGATTGCCTCGAGCAAGCACCAGTAACGGCTCCTTCATCCTAGAACTGAGATTTAAAAAAGTGCCATATTCAAGGCTGCCCCAGGTTTAGGAGAATGAGACCCATCATTGTTACTGGTATTTGGCATATTGGGTACGCCACGGGGAGTTTGCCAGACTGCCGTGTGGGCAGGCTACATTTGGTAGCCTGCCAGGTTGTCCAAAGTAAGAATGAGATTATAAGATGTCATGCCACCGCAAATGCGGCCACGCCCTTCTGGGAGCTGGATTTTTATAGTCTCTTGGCCGTTGATGGGATTACACGGTGGTGGGGGTCAGTTGGTAGGTGTGATCCCTGCCTACTGGAAGATGGAGGATCTCATTGGAGGATGCTCAGCCCTGATCCAAGCAGGCTTGGAGATCTCAGCCCTGGGACCCGGGACTCCTGCCCCCACCCCCCACCCCCCGCCAGGCTGGAGCGATAGCATAGCAGGTAGGGTGTTTGCCTTGCATGCGGACAAGCCGGGTTCAAATTCCAGTATCCCATATGGTCCCCTCAGCACCGCCAGGGGTAATTTCTGAGAGCAGAGCCAGGAGTGACCCCTGTGCATCGCCGGGTGTGACCCAAAAAGCAAAAAAAAAAAAAAAAAAAGCAAGATTGCTTATATTCTTGAAAAATGTCACCCCTCTGGGTGATCTGCTAGGACCTCCTGAGGAGATTCATGGGAGGACCTTAGGCTCCTTTTCCTTAGGGAGGCCAAGGGAAGCATCTGGCCATCAGTTCCATTGCCCTGGGCTTGCTGCAGGTGGGTTTACATTCTCTGCATTTCCATGTGCTGCACATAAATGCCCAATAAATCCCAATGACCAGAACCATGGAAAGAAGCAAGGGACAGAGGTATGGGAAAATCATCTCAGAAAATTATCAAAGTCATTCACAGTGATCTAGTGTCTCAGATACCAAGACCTTCCATTGTCTCCAGGTTCAGGATCAGCCCCTCTTCTTTAGCTCAACTCCCATCCCCAGGTTCCCAAGACAGCCAAAGGCCTGTGTGACCACTGTGGAGTAGCTTAGGGGCTGCCAGACACTGGTGACACGGTGCCCCTGTGATCTTGAATATTTGATTGCAGCCCACACTTGCTTAAACTTGCTTCCTCTGGTCTTGCAAAAAATACCACAAAATCATCACTTCCCAGATTTCCCTGTACCTGGCATTCCAGTTGCTCCCATGCACTGACAAATGCGAATGTACTAGTAGTTATAAAATTCTGCCTGATGCTACAATTACTACTGGGCACTCATGACTGTAAGTCCCACTCAATGCCTGTGTCTTATGGACCTGGACCTCTTGCGACAGCAACTGTGAAGTTTCTAGATCTTCCAGAACTTGGTGCAGTAGCGGCAGTACCCTTGTGATGGCAAATTCCCAATGTTGCCCAGATCAACACAAACTCAGAGCCACAGCTCTGCCTGGAACTATCAAAGGTGAGCCCTGGGCCACTGCTGAGGCCTGTGTGAATCATTCTTCCTCCTTAGAATACTTAACATCAGCACAATGAAGAAATGGAGGAATTCCTGTGCATTGATGAACTAAGCCAAAAGCCTGAGAAGGTTCCCAAACACATCAAAGGCTTCTAAACTCTCTGAAGATTTCAAAACAACAATATTAAGGAAGTTCACGGAATTGAAACCCATGGAAGAGAATTTCAACAAGCAAAAAGAAAGTCTGAGAAACATCCAAGAGGAATTTAATAAGCTAAAAAAATACAGCAGTCTCCCTAGAAAGCACTATAGAACTCAAGAGTAGAATGTCAGAAGCCAAATGATTGAATCAGTGACCTTAAGGATAGGTAGAGGAAACCATCAAAAAATAATAGAAGGGAAAAAACCTTAAAACAATGATGACAGGAGGCAGAACTGGTATTATAGCAGATAGGACACTTGCCTTGCACATGGCTGACTGGGGATCAATCCCTGGCATCCAATATGGTCCCCTGAGACCCACCATTTGTCCCTGAGCACGGATCCAGGAGTAAGTCCTGAGCACTGCTGAATGTGGCCCCAAATAAAGACAACATATGAGATTGCAAGATAGCTTCGAAAAGAATGACATTCCTGGCATAGGAACTACAGAAAGTTTTCTTTAGAGGAAAGTGTGTGAAAATTGTTGTGTCTCACCTTGGAGCCATTATGTCCCTGTGTAAGAGATCACTAACATTTTATTACGGGTTGAACTTTGTAAGACTCAGCAGATTCATCAACTGAAATTCTACAGATGAGCCAATGTTTTGAATGAGAAAGATCTCCAAACAAGAATAATCTACCTTGTTAAATTATTCAAATTCAAAGGGCTGATAGAAAGCTTTCAGACAAGTGACAGAGAAATTTATGTATACTAACTAACTATATTATTATTTAATAATAATAAATACTAAAAGGTGTCCTAAGAAAGGCAAAGAAAGCTTGTTTGGACGAAATAATATTCTTTTTCTTTTTTTGCAATTTGGGTAAGTATAATTTTATTTATCTGAAAAGATAATGAAAACAGATAAATCCCATATGCTATTGTGAGAACTATTATCTCTTTTTTTTTAGCAGTAATATTCTTAATCTGTATCATAAGGAGCGATAGCACAGTGGATAGGGTGTTTGCCTTGGACACATCCAACATGACTGACCCGAGTTTGATTCCTCCGCCCCTCTTGAAGAGCCCAGCAAACTACCAAGAGTATCTTGTCCACCTGGCAAGCTACCCGTGATGTATTTGTTATGCCAAACACAGTAACAACAAGTTTCACGATGGAGACGTTACTGGGCCCGCTCGAGCAAATCGATGAACAATGGGAGGACAGTGACAGTGACAGTAATATTCTTAAAAGACAAAATATGGGGAAGAAGGAAGGTAATAATGGGTGCTAAACTTGAGACTTGTTTTATTTAAATTTAAATAAAGGAACTTAGGACTCTTAATGTAAACTTCACGATAATCTCAGGACAAAAATATTTAGGAGAAACAAATAAGAGACAAAATCACCTAATCACTAGAACAATAAACGTCAAAGTATATGATATTAGAAATTTTAAAAAAAGGCCAAAGGACCAAAGGCAAAGTTCACAAACATTTAGAACCCATAAAGAAAAATTGCACTGGCAATATCCTTTTTATTTTATTTTAATTTTTAATTTTTTTTTTATTTTTGCTTTTTGGGTCACACCTGGTGATGCACAGGGGTTACTCCTGGCTCTGCACTTAGGAATCACCCCTGGCGGTGCTCAGGGGACCATATGGGATGC